TAGCTATAGTCTAGTCTATAGTCTAGTCATAGTTAGTCTAGTCTAGTCTATAGTCTTAGTCTATAGTCTAGTCTATAGTCTAGTCTATAGTCTAGTCTATAGTCTAGTCTATAGTCTAGTCTATAGTCTAGTCTATAGTCTAGTCTATAATCTAGTCTATAGTCTAGTCTATAGTCTAGTCTATAGTCTAGTCTATAGTCTAGTCTATAGTTTAGTCTATAATCTAGTCTATAATCTAGTCTATAGTCTAGTCTATAGTCTAGTCTATAGTCTAGTCTATAGTCTAGTCTATAGTCTAGTCTATAGTCTAGTCTATAGTCTAGTCTATAGTCTAGTCTATAGTCTAGTCTATAGTCTAGTCTATAGTCTAGTCTATAGTCTAGTCTATAGTCTAGTCTATAGTCTAGTCTATAGTCTAGTCTATAGTCTAGTCTATAGTTAGTTAGTTAGTTAGTTAGTTTGAAAGGAGGATGTATATTAGAGTGCTCCAAGCTTGTATGAAGGAAAAAAAATTTTATCCGACAGGCCGTCCCCCCCTCTGGAATTGTTCTATGGGTTGTAAAACTATGTCATGCAAAAAATTAGGCTGATAGGATAACGTTAACAGGTGCCGCAACGGCTCAGAAGTTTCCAAGTGCATTTACAAGGGGAAAAAATCGATTTTTTTCAGTTTTTGCTCAAATTTTGCAACTTAATAATAAACTTTGCACTTTATTGTAAAGGAATCGTAATGTGCACAGAATAAGCATTACAGAAAGATATAAAACACAAAAATTGGTTGAAAATTTTTAAAGTTATTGCAAATTCCCCAGGCCATTAACGTGTCTCACAGCACATGAATTCGAAATGTGACAAAAAAATTAAAATTTTTTAGGACATATTGTAAAAAAACCATTTTGTTACTTAAAATATACTAAAAATTACTTGAATACTAGCTTTTGTCCTTATACGATAACGCAAACTTGTTCTCAGCTATGGTCAAAAAAGTTTGATTTTTTCAACGGCCGTTTCAAATCTCCAATTTCAGTTTTTTTGAAACTTTGTTAAACAAATTTTAAAATTTTTAGAAGATCTCATGGGAATTTATGGACAATAGATAAGGGAATAAAACGGTAAAAAATTAGATCAATAATTCTTACAGTTTAGCTGTACCTGCGATTTGAACTCGGCGGATTTCGGGAAAATCGCATTTTTTTGTAATATATTAGAGAATACGTATTAATTTTTTACTGTTGTACATTTTAAACAAAGTATTTTCAGAGTATTATAGACCAGATAATATAAAATATATATTCCAAGTTTTATTCAAATCGGACATTCTTAACCCATAAAATGTGGAGTTCAAAGGTTAAATTTTGCTATATTTGGGAATTCTCAGTGCACCATATTAAAATATTATTTATTTGTTGGCCATAGTTACCAAAAATTACTGGAATTTATCGTATAAAGTCCGATATTTAAAATAGAGTGAAAAAAAGGTAAATTAACACATTAAGGCACTTGGGAACAATTTAACACAAAAGTTCAAAAATTTGAAAAAGCACTATCCATTTGAATAAAGCTCTATATAATTAGAGAAATAGCAGAAATATAACAAAAACGTATATATTAAGTATAAAAAATTATACTTTAACCCTTTTCGACTATGGAGTAAACTATAGGTGTACATTTTTAAAAGAAAAATTTTGTTTTTAAAACTGATAATTTATGTAGTCCATTTTTTCGGACCATTTTCGACATAATATGTCTAAAAATACAAACTTTATAGGTTCAAAAAGGGTTAATTCATAAGTTTTTATACGTAAAATATATTTTTTTGTTTTATTTATGTTATTCCTCTAATTATATAGAGCATTATTCAAATGGATAGTGTTTTTACGATTTTTTGATCTTCGGGGTTAAATTTTTCCCATGTGTTTTAAAGGGTTAATTTTACTTTTTTTCGCTGCTATTTTAAACATAAGACTTTATACTAAAAATTCAAGTCATCTTTATTAAATATGACCGACAAATACATAATATTTCGATATGGTACACTGAGAATTCCCAAATATAGCAAAATTTGACTTTTGAACTCCACATTTTATGGGTTAAGAATGTCCGAATTGAATAAAACTTGGAATATATATTTTATATTATCTGGTCTATAATACTCTGAAAATACTTTGTTTAAAATGTACAACAGTAAAAAATTAATACGTATTCTCTAATATATTACAAAAAAATGCGATTTTCCCGAAATCCGCCGAGTTCAAATCGCAGGTACAGCTAAACTGTAAGAATTATTGATCTAATTTTTTTACCGTTTTATTCCCTTATCTATTGTCCATAAATCCCCATGAGATCTTCTAAAAATTTTAAAATTTGTTTAACAAAGTTTCAAAAAAACTGAAATTGGAGATTTGAAACGGCCGTTGAAAAATTCAAACTTTTTTAACCATAGCTGAGAACAAGTTTGCGTTATCGTATAAAGACAAAAGCTAACATTCTAGTTATTATAGATATATTTTAAGTAACAAAATGTTTTTTTACAATATTTCCTAAAAAATGTTAATTTTTTTGTCACATTTCGAATTCATGTGCTGTGAGACACGTTAATGGTCTGGGGAATTTGCAATAACTCTGAAAGTTTTCAACCAATATTTATGTTTTATATCTTTCCGAAAAGCTTATTATGTGTACATTGCGATTCCATCACAATACATTGTAAAGTTTATTATTAAGTGGCAAAATTTTAGCAAAAACTGAAAAAAATCGATTTTTTCCCCTTGTAAATGCACTTGGAAACTTTAGTGCCGTTGCGGCACCTGTTAACGTTATCCTATCAGCCTAATTTTTTGTATGACATAGTTTTACAACCCATAGAACAATTCTAGAGGGGGGGACGGGCAAAATTCGCAACTTCGTTTTTTTGGAGCACTCTAATGTATATACATCAAATCCGAAGAAATACACCTAGGCCTCTATCGGGCCTGTTGTGCGCTCCTTAACCAGTGCCTCAGGTGGGAATCGAACCCACCACCTCCGGTCTACCAGACTAGAACACTGACCACTAACCTACCGGAGGCCACTAGTCTAGTCTATAGTCTAGTCTATAGTCTAGTCTATAGTCTAGTCTATAGTCCAGTCTATAGTCTAGTCTATAGTCTAGTCTATAGTCTAGTCTATAGTCTAGTCTATAGTCTAGTCTATAGTCTAGTCTATAGTCTAGTCTATAGTCTAGTCTATAGTCTAGTCTATAGTCTAGTCTATAGTCTAGTCTATAGTCTAGTCTACAGTCTAGTCTATAGTCTAGTCTATAGTCTAGTCTATAGTCTAGTCTATAGTTAGTTAGTTAGTTAGTTAGTTAGTTTGAAAGGAGGATGTATATACATCAAATCCGAAGAAATACACCTAGGCCTCTATCGGGCCTGTTGTGCGCTCCTTAACCAGTGCCTCTGGTGGGAATCGAACCCACCACCTCCGGTCTACCATACTAGAACACTGACCACTAACCTACCGGAGGCCACTAGTCTAGTCTATAGTCTAGTCTATAGTCTAGTCTATAGTCTAGTCTATAGTCTAGTCTATAGTCTAGTCTATAGTCTAGTCTATAGTCTAGTCTATAGTCTAGTCTATAGTCTAGTCTATAGTCTAGTCTATAGTCTAGTCTATAGTCTAGTCTATAGTCTAGTCTATAGTCTAGTCTATAGTCTAGTCTATAGTCTAGCCTATAGTCTAGTCTATAGTCTAGTCTATGGTCTAGTCTATAGTCTAGTCTATAGTCTAGTCTATAGTCTACTCTATAGTCTAGTCTATAGTCTAGTCTATAGTCTAGTCTATAGTCTAGTCTATAGTCTAGTCTATAATCTAGTCTATAGTCTAGTCTATAGTCTAGTCTATAATCTAGTCTATAGTCTAGTCTATTGTCTAGTCTATAGTCTAGTCTATAGTCTAGTCTATAGTCTAGTCTATAATCTAGTCTATAGTCTAGTCTATTGTCTAGTCTATAGTCTAGTCTATAGTCTAGTCTATAGTCTAGTCTATAGTCTAGTAGTCTAGTCTATAGTCTAGTATATAGTGTAGTATAAAATTTGTTTAGTGCTTTAAAAAATAAAAGGTATTAATTTTGTTATATTTCAAAATTTAAATTTTCCATGCCTGCTTAGGGGTTAAAATATTTCACTTTAGAGAATTTTACTTCCTTGTTGTGTTTAGAGATGAAGATGGACGTAAATAATCGGATTTGTCAAAGATTTAAGGAAATGCATAAATAAAAAATAAACAAATTTAATCTTAGCTAAGGCGTAACAAACACTTTAGAAATTTTAGGGTATTTTGTTAATGTTTAAAATAAATTTATTTGAGTTAAAATACATATTTTAAAATGTAACATTTTAAGAATCCATAAAACTTAAAACAAATTTAAATTACACAACAAATCGACATCAAAAGTTGCTTCGTTCTTTCTATTAAAATCTTTCTCCTTGAGTTTGAAGACCATTTTTGAGTTAATTTGTAAGAAAATAAATTTTTTATATACATATGTATATGACTCTATTATAGCGTTAGTTAAACAATGTTTTGTTAGGAGGTTTAAGAGTGTCGATCTATCTTATTTGCCTATAACGGAAAAGATTCTCCTCTTATTTACATTCAAAACTACTATAATTATTAGAAAATTTACTTCCCACCTAGAATCATAAAGTTCGTTCACACTTAAATACATACTGGCAAAGTAACACAATTTAACTGATTAAAACACTATAAGTAAAACCAATTGACCCATATAAGACCAAAACCATAAACACTCATAAAAAAAAACTTATTTAAACATATTCCGCATAAATACATGAAGCACTCATAACAATAAAATCAAATCAATCAAAATTCTACTGAAAAGTCCACAATTTTGATTGATTGGACATTTTTATTGTCTAAATGTATTGATAAAGTACCAAAGAATTTAATTTATGATCGTCAAATTCAAATGATTATTTTGTATTTTTTTGTTTTTATAGATTTATGCCACCCATCACGCCCTCAACGTGGAAAAATGTACGTAATGCTGATCGTTTTTCCCCAGTATGCCCACAAAATGTGCCCATACCACCTAATGGTCCCGAAGCATTGTTAGAAGTACCCAGAGCACGTTTGGCACAACTAAGACGTTTACTGCCGCTGTTGAGCAATCAATCGGAGGATTGTTTGTATTTGAACATTTATGTACCCTATGAACATCGAAGACATAGACGTAAGTTTTTTTGTTCAATAACAATAAATTATATCATTGATTTCAAGGTATTTTTAATTACAGTGAAGGTTTATTTAATGATCAGGAAATCTTCAATTCCGTAGTGCATTGCAGTTTGTTATTTGAAAAATTACTGCAAGCATTGTGGAAATGATGATTTTATGATAGAAAGAACAACATAATGTGAATGTAAAATATCTATAAGTCTCATAAATAATGATAGATTTTAGCAAAGTGAAGAAAAACTAGAACTAAATAGAACTGAACTAGAACTGAACTAGAACTGAACTAGAACTGAACTAGAACTGAACTAGAACTGAACTAGAACTGAACTAGAACTGAACTAAAACTGAACTAGAACTGAACTAGAACTGACTAAACTGAACTAGAACTGAACTAGAACTGAACTAGAACTGAACTAGAACTGAACTAGAACTGAACTAGAACTGAACTGAACTAGAACTGAACTAGAACTGAACTAGAACTGAACTAGAACTGAACTAGAACTGAACTAGAACTGAACTAGAACTGAACTAGAACTGAACTAGAACTGAACTAGAACTGAACTAGAACTGAACTAGAACTGAACTAGAACTGAACTAGAACTGAACTAGAACTGAACTAGAACTGAACTAGAACTGAACTAGAACTGAACTAGAACTGAACTAGAACTGAACTAGAACTGAACTAGAACTGAACTAGAACTGAACTAGAACTGAACTAGAACTGAACTAGAACTGAACTAGAACTGAACTAGAACTGAACTAGAACTGAACTAGAACTGAACTAGAACTGAACTAGAACTGAACTAGAACTGAACTAGAACTGAACTAGAACTGAACTAGAACTGAACTAGAACTGAACTAGAACTGAACTAGAACTGAACTAGAACTGAACTAGAACTGAACTAGAACTGAACTAGAACTGAACTAGAACTGAACTAGACTGAACTGAACCTAGAACTGAACTAGAACTGAATTAGAACTGAACTAGAACTGAACTAGAACTGAACTAGAACTGAACAAGCACTAAACTAGAACTGAACTAGAACTGAACTAGAACTGAACTAGAAATGAACTAGAACTGAACTAGAACTGAGGAACTAGAACTGAACTAGAACTGAAATAGACTGAACTAGACTGAACTAGAACTGACTAGAAACTGAACTAGAAACTGAACTAGAACTGAACTAGAACTGAAACTAGAACTGAACTGATAAACTGAACTAGAACTAAACTAGAATGAACTAGAACTGAACAAGCACTAAACTAGAACCTGAAACTAGACACTGACTGGAAACTGAATTAAACACTGAACTAGAACTAAACTAGAACTAAACTCGCACTGAACGAGAAATGAACTGAGACTGAACTAGAACTGAACTAGAACTTGAACTAGAACTGAACTAGAACTGAACTCAGAACTGAACTAGAACTGAACTAGAACTGAACTAGAACTGAACTAGAACTGAACTAGAACTGAACTAGAACTGAACTAGAACTGAACTAGACTGAACTAGAACTGAACTAGAACTGAACTAGAACTGAACTAGAACTGAACTAGAACTGAACTAGAACTGAACTAGAACTGAACTAGAACTGACTAGAACTGAACTAGAACTGAACTAGAACTGAACTAGAACTGAACTAGAACTGAAACTAGAACTGAACTAGAACTGAACTAGAACTAAACTAGAACTGAACTAGAACTGAACTGGAACTGAACTAGAACTGAACTAGAACTAAACTAGCACTGAACTAGAAACTGAACTAGAACTGAACTAGAACTGACTAGAACTGAACTAGAACTGAACTAGAACTGAACTAGAACTGAACTAGAACTGAAGCTAGAACTGAACTAGAACTGAACTAGAACTGAACTAGAACTGAACTAGAACTGAACTAGAACTGAACTAGAACTGAACTAGAACTGAACTAGAACTGAACTAGAACTGAACTAGAACTGAGAACTGAACTAGAACTGAACTAGAACTGAACTAGAACTGAACTAGAACTGAACTAGAACTGAACTAGAACTGAACTAGAACTGAACTAGAACTGAACTAGAACTGAACTAGAACTGAACTAGAACTGAACTAGAACTGAACTAGAACTAGAACTGAACTAGAACTGAACTAGAACTGAACTAGAACTGAACTAGAACTGAACTAGAACTGAACTAGAACTGAACTAGAACTGAACTAGAACTGAACTAGAACTGAACTAGAACTGAACTAGAACTGAACTAGAACTGAACTAGAACTGAACTAGAACTGAACTAGAACTGAACTAGAACTGAACTAGAACTAGAACTGAACTAGAACTGAACTAGAACTGAACTAGAACTGAACTAGAACTGAACTAGAACTGAACTAGAACTGAACTAGAACTGAACTAGAACTGAACTAGAACTGAACTAGAACTGAACTAGAACTGAACTAGAACTGAACTAGAACTGAACTAGAACTGAACTAGAACTGAACTAGAACTGAGCTAGAACTGAACTAGAACTGAACTAGAACTAGAACTGAACTAGAACTGAACTTGAACTGAACTTGAACTGAACTTGAACTGAACTTGAACTGAACTAGAATTAAACTAGAACTGAACCAGAACTATAACTGAACTAAAACACGATTTATAAATTTTAATTAATGTTTTATAATAAATTTTTCCTATAGGTTTCACCACCAACAGTGGAGAATTGAATGACACACCAAAATTACCCATTATACTTTTCATACATGGCGAATCGTATGAATGGAATTCCGGTAATCCATATGATGGTTCTGAATTGGCTGCACATGGAAATGTTATCGTAGTCACCATCAATTTTCGTTTGGGCATATTCGGTTTTCTAAAAACCGGTGGCAAAGAAAGTGCACAGGGTAATTTTGGTCTTATGGATTTGGTGGCGGGTCTACATTGGCTTAGAGAAAATTTACCTGCTTTTGGAGGAGATTCTCAGGCTATAACCTTACTGGGACATGGAACGGGAGCAGCACTAGCTAATATATTAGTAGTGTCCCCAGTATCCAGTGGTTAGTTTTAATATACTTATTAAAAATTGCAACCATTTTCATAATATTTAAAATTTCTTAGATCTAATACAACATACTGTTATGGTAAGCGGTTCGGCATTATCACCCTGGGCCATACAAAAGAATCCTTTGTTCGTTAAGCGTCGTGTGGCCGAACAGACTGGCTGTCATGGCGATATGTTATATTACGATTTGGCTCCATGTTTGCGCACTAAAACGGTGGCCGAACTATTAGCCGTTAAAATCGATCATCCACGGTAAGTTATATGGTAATGGGAAACGTATGTATATGTTTTGACATATCATATTTCTTTACTAGATTTTTGGTCGGCTTTGCGCCATTCATCGATGGCACTGTCATATCACCCAATACAGATTCTATCGGTAAATTATCACTGCCTTTGGGTTCAGCTATAGTTAGGTAAGTTGCTTTATATATACGGACTCGGTAGGTAAATTAATTTTTAATTTATGGAATTTTCGTATATTACAGTACATCAGGAATTGAATATGCAAATTTTCCTAAACGTAATCTTATATTTTGTCTTACATCGGTGGAATCACATTTAGACTTGAGCGCCCAAGACTTGGAATTTGGTTTCAATGAAACTAGACGTGATCGTATCTTAAGAACATATGTACGTAATAATTTTCACTATCATCTAAATGAAATATTTGCAGTACTGAAGGTAAGTTTATTATTAACTTTAACTCAAGAGGGAAATTATTAATTGTTTATCTATATAGAATGAATATACCGATTGGGATAAGGCCATACGTAGTCCCTTAAGTTCTCGCGATGCCACATTGCAATTTTTAAGTGATGGTCATACGGCTTCCTCCCTAATCAAATTGGGTTATATGCATAGTTTAAGAGGAGGCCGGGGTTACTTTTTACATTTCAAACATCGCACCGTAGAAGAAGAATATCCTCAGGTACAAGTTTAAACATATTTCTTTGGAAACGCTATTTGATTAATGTCTCTTACAGCGAACTGGTTCAGTGCGTGGTGAGGATGTACCATTTTGGTTGGGTTTACCCATCTCACCTCTATTTCCGCATAATTATACAACTCAGGAGAAACAAATCAGTCGTTTAATGTTAAGATATCTGGCTAATTTTGCTAAAACGGGGTAAGTTGTGATAACAAATAATTGTAAAAATCAATAACAATAAACTAATGTTTATTTAACTTTCAGTAATCCAAATCAATCATCTCTATCAACATCTGGCCAACCTTCTTCGTCTTCCTTGATTGGTTCACCACCCTCGGCCTCATCTGCATCTTCTTCAGCGTCCTCATCTAGTAGTCAAACTGCCGATGATTCTCATGAAAAAGTTAAAAGGTCATCATTTAATATTGTAAATGCCACTTCATCGTCGTCATCATCATCAGCATCACAATCCAGTGGTCCAATTAAAAGTAATGCCATTGTAGTTGACGTTGAAACTGCCGCCGCTAGGGAGGCTCTCAACTTGGCTGTGCTCTATAATCAACGTCGTACCAAACGCACTTATTATAAACGTCACTCTCGTAGTAATGATGATCATAGTGGTAGTGCTTCCAGTGAAGTGAACTATTTTTTAAGTCTCAACAACAACAACAATAACAATAATAATAAATTAGATGGCGATGAACTGCCATTCTGGGATGCCTATGACGTTGTAAACCAATTGTATATGGAATTGGGTGAGTTTGAAAAGATTCCGAAAAGTTGTAATGAAGAACTGATCTAAAACGGAACTAGAACTGAAGAAGAGCTGAACTAGAACTTAACTAGAACTAAACTAGATCTTAACTAGAATTGAACTAGAACTGAACTAGAACTTAACTAGAACTGAACTAGAACTGAACTAGAACTGAACTAGAACTGAACTAGAACTGAACTAGAACTGAACTAGAACTGAACTAGAACTGAACTAGAACTGAACTAGAACTGAACTAGAACTGAACTAGAACTGAACTAGAACTGAACTAGAACTGAACTAGAACTGAACTAGAACTGAACTAGAACTAGAACTAGAACTGAACTAGAACTAGAACTGAACTAGAACTAGAACTGAACTAGAACTGAACTAGAACTGAACTAGAACTGAACTAGAACTGAACTAGAACTGAACTAGAACTGAAATAGAACTGAACTAGAACTGAACTAGAACTGAACTAGAACTGAACTAGAACTGAACTAGAACTGAACTAGAACTGAACTAGAACTGAACTAGAACTGAACTAGAACTGAACTAGAACTGAACTAGAACTGAACTAGAACTGAACTAGAACTGAACTAGAACTGAACTAGAACTGAACTAGAACTGAACTAGAACTGAACTAGAACTGAACTAGAACTGAACTAGAACTGAACTAAAACTGAACCAAACTAAACTAGAACTGAACTAGAACTGAACTAGAACTGAACTAGAACAGAACTAGAACTGAACTAGAACTGAACTAGAACTGAACTAGAACTGAACTAGAACTGAACTAGAACTGAACTAGAACTGAACTAGAACTGAACTAGAACTGAACTAGAACTGAACTAGAACTGAACTAGAACTGAACTAGAACTGAACTAGAACTGAACTAGAACTGAACTAGAACTGAACTAGAACTGAACTAGAACTGAACTAGAACTGAACTAGAACTGAACTAGAACTGAACTAGAACTGAACTAGAACTGAACTAGAACTGAACTAGAACTGAACTAGAACTGAATTAGAACTGAACTAGAACTGAACTAGAACTGAACTAGAACTGAACTAGAACTGAACTAGAACTGAACTAGAACTGAACTAGAACTGAACTAGAACTAGAACTGAACTAGAACTAGAACTGAACTAGAACTGAACTAGAACTGAACTAGAACTGAACTAGAACTGCACTAGAACTGAACTAGAATTGAACTACAACTGAACTAGAACTTAACTTGAACTGAATTAAAACTTTCTAGAAGTGAGCAAGAATTAAACTAGAACTGAACTAGAACTAAAAAAAAAAACTGAACCAAATCTGAACTGGTTCCGAACAATTTTAAACGCTACCAATTTTTTTCTAGGTAATAAAGCCGAAATCCAAAGTCATTACAGAGGTCACAAATTATCCATGTGGTTGAATCTCATACCACAACTCCATAGACATGCCAACATGAATGATCAGTCCATGAGACATCATCAGTTCCAGGATGATTTAAATAATTTGAATTTATATGAAGGTTAGTTAGAATTTAATTAATTTAAAACAAAATATTTATTATTTAAGAAAATTTGCAGGAATTGTTAGAGCTCAAATACAGACCAAGCCGGATGATGACGATGAAACTATATTGCTGCCAAAGGGAAGACCAACTCCACCGCCAGTTGTACAAGAAACTAATACTACACAAAAGCCCAATGGAGGCACTACAGGTAACATTTTAGGAAATTACTTTTGTATTTAGTTTTACCATTATTGATATTTATTTTCTTTCTTTCAAGAATGTGGAGTGGATGGTGCCATGTTTGTGGCGGAAATGACTACAGTACCACCATCCGACAATCGTTCTTTGGTTTTGGATAGTCGTGAAAAAGAAATGGCGACCGCTTCCACCGGTCTCATAGGTAATCTAGAAGTCTTAAGACGTTTAAGTGGTAAACAATTTCAAAGTTATACTACTGCTCTAGTAGCCACCGTGGCTGTGGGTTGTTTCCTGCTCATACTCAACATCTTGATATTTGCTGGCATCTATCATCAGCGTGAAAAACGTGCCCGTGATGCTAAAACTAAAGAGGAATTACAGGATAATGATACGAGTAAAAATTCGAGTATGTTGAAATTGAATGCCCTGGGCAGTGAAACGGGTTCGTTTAATGGTAGTGGTGCAGGTGTTAGTGGAAAAACAACGGTAGTGTTTGGCGAATATAGCTGTTATGATGAAAAGTCTTTGCAGACTAAAGATGAAAAACTCATGGTAGAATTACCACCGCCTCAAATGATAGATCCCAATTGGCCCGCTTGTTCCACCAGCACCTTGGATTTATTGAAAACTAAACATCATACACCTCTCGACACCACCTACACTCTTAGTAATGTAGTGCCCATTAATACGGAATCACAAACAGACCACATAATGGCAGTCAATGCTATGGAAATGTCCACCTATAATCCTTTGCCTATGACTTCCGGTTTGATAATAGATCCCACTTTAGCTGCTACTGCAACATCGTCATCAGGTTTACTAAGTAAACGTGGTTCATTTGTGGGTTCAGCGGGTCAATTGAATCAATATGATTTCGCTTCGGTACAGTCTTCAGATCAAATGTCCTTTAAGGATATAGAAAATGCGGTTAAAGCTTCGGCTACAATGGATGATGATATAACACATGATGATGATATACCAGAGCCACCACCACCACCAAGATCATTTCATAATATGCAACAACAACAACAGCAGCAACAACAACAACAGCAGCAACAACAACAACAACAGGGAGGAGCAGCGGCTAGTGGGAGTGGTGGGGGTATATTAAGACAAGCCGGTACCACATCGTCCACTCAGACGGGAGGAGGTAAAAAACGTGTACATATACAAGAAATATCTGTCTAAATTTAGTGAAATGAAAACTAAGTTAATAATTTGTTTATTTTTTTTTTAATTGCATATTTATTGGAAGAGTAAGAGTAAAGAGCAGTATTCCATGAAAAATTATTAAAAAAATATTCCTTGAAATAGAAATTTTCTATAATAAAATACAACTTTCTCTAAAATTTTCTATTAAAATAGAATTTTCTCGAAAATTTTCTAAGAAAAGAGAATTTTCTCGAAAAATTTCTATAAAAAAGAGAATTTTCTCAAAAATGTTCTATAAAAAGAAAATATTCTTGAAAATTTTCTATAAAAAGAGAATTTTCTCGAAAATTTCCTATAAAAACTTTCTTAAAAAAGAGAATTTTCTAGAAAACTTTCTAAGAAAATAGAATTTTCTCGAAAATTTTCTTTAAAAAAGAGAATTTTCTCTAAAATTTTTTATAAAAATATAATTTTCTCTAAAATTTTCTATTAAAGAGAGAGTTTTCTTAACTTTTTTTATAAAAGAGAGAGTTTTATCGAAAACGTTCTATAAAAGAGAAAGTTTTCTCCAAAATGTTTTATAAAAGAGAGAATTTTCTCGAAAATTTTTTATAAAAGAGAGATTTTTCTCAAAAATTTTCTATCAAGGAGAGAATTTTTGAAGAATCTATGAAAGTTTTTTGTGAAAAGGAAATTTTCAAAAATTGGTTTGTTAACAAATTTTCTTTACTCTGTTTAAAATCTTTTCCACTTGTATACTATAAAATTTTTAATTTTTGTTGATTTTTTTTTAATTTAAACAAAGCTTTAATTAAATAAATTTTTAAAAATATAAAACTTACTATAAATCAACTTGTAAATGTATAAATGTTGTTAATTTCCCCTTTTAAATAAGTTAAGCTGTTATAGAAAAAAAAATCCTTTTGTTAAAAAATATTTATAAATATAAAAAAAAAACATAATTAAGTAAAAGAGACTTAAACTAATGAAATTAATTTAAAAGAAAACTAAAAATTTATTACAGCTAAAATTTATTTTTAAAATAAAACTTAACTTTTACAATATTAAAAACAAAAACTAAGAACTTAATGTTTAATAATTTCATAAATTTTATATTATGTTAATTAACTTACAGCAAACTCATAAATAGTTATTAAAATAGAAAGGTTACAAATAAACATTTCAAAAATTTAAAATTTTTAAAAATCGTTTAACTATTTCGAATAGAAAATTCTTTTAGATTACAGTTTTTAGTTTAACCTTCTATTATTAATAATTAACTTTAATCTTAAAAAAAAATCAAAAAAACTATATGGTTCAATGTTGTGTACCTTTTGTTAAACTTTAATATTTAAAAAATAAAAAAAAATAAAACAAGTAAGAGTATTATATTCGGCCATGCCGAATCTTATATACCCACCATCAAATTATCCTTATTAATAAATTTTGATATTATCGATCTAGTTTGAATCATATGTTGATATTAATATGAACATCAGGGACATATTTGGAAGAGGGCCAAGGGCTTAAGCATGGACCGTGCTATTCCGAATTAAAAATATTAATTTTCTTTGACCCAATATTTATAACCAAAAACTGTTTTTTTGTAAGAGTGGTTATATGGAGGGTAGAGTCAATTATGGACCTTTCCTTGTCGGTTTATACAATAATTGTGTGTATCTAATGTAGCTGTACTCGTATTTTTAATTCAGTCATGAGGTTTAAAGTAATTTTCTGAAGAAAGCCGAAAATGGGGGTTTGATAGTTATCGACCGATCTTCATCAAATTCAGTTGAAAAATTTCAGTTCCTATAAAACTACCGTAATTTGGAAGAACTTTTGAGTCACACATGAGCGTTTAAGTGATTTTCTGGAGCGAATCAATTATAGACCGATTTAAATAAGGACCGATCCTTATAAAATTTGATAGAGAGGTTTTGGCTCGCACGAAATTTGTTTATGTATAATTTTACCGCTGTACTCACATTTTTGAGTCAGTAATGAGCGTTAAAGTCATTGTATAAAGGAGACCTTATTAGGGGGTTAGGGTCAATTATGGACACATCCTCATAAAATTTAAGAAAATGATTTTAGTTCCTATAAAACTTTTTTATGTCAAATTTTATTGTTATGCATATGCTTCTTAAGGTAGATATGAGCATTAAAGTCCTTTTCTGAAGGACCGATCCTTATAAAATTCTACGAAGAGATTTATGTTCCCATAAAACATGTTTGTGCCGAATTTCACAGCTATTGATGCTTCTCTTAGCCAGTTATGGGCGATAAAGTCATTTTCTGAAGGGTACTTTATATGGGGGTAGGGTCAATTATGGGCCTATCCTTATAAAATTTTACAAAGAGATTTATGTTCCCATAAAATATGTTTGTGCTGAATTTCACCGCTATTGATGCTTCTCTTAGACAGTTATGGGCCATAAAGTCATTTTCTGAAGGGGACTTTTTATGGGGGGTAGGGTCAATTATGGGCCTATCCTTATAAAATTTTACAAAGAGATTTAATTTCCCATAAAACATGCTTGTGCCGAATTTCATCGCTATTGATGCTTTTCTTAGCCAGTTATGGGCGATAAAGTCATCTTCTGAAGGGGACTTTATATGGGGGGTAGGGTCAATTATGAGCCTATCCTTATAAAATTTTAAAAGGAGATTTAGGTTCCTATACAACATATTTGTGCCGAATTTCACCGCTATTGATGCTTCTCTTAGGCAGTTATGGGCGATAAAGTCATTTTCTGAAGGGGATTTTATATGGGGGTAGGGTCAATTATGGACCGATCCTTATAAAATTTTACAGTGAGATTTTAGTTCCCATAGAACATGTTTGTGCCGAATTTCACTGCTATTGATGCTTCTCTTAGCCAGTTATGGGCGATAAAGTCATTTTTTGAAGGGGATTTTATATGGGGGGTAGGGTCAATTATGGACCGATCCTTATAAAATTTTACAAAGAGATTTAGGTTCCCATAAAACATGTTTGTGCCGAATTTCACCGCTATTGATGCTTTTCTTAGGCAGTTATGGGCGATAAAGTCATATTCTGATGGGGACTTTATATGGGGGGTAGGGTCAATTATGGACCGATCCTTATAAAATTTTACAGACAGATTTAAGTTCCCATAAAACATGTTTGTGCCGAATTTCACCGCTATTGATGCTTCTCTTAGGCAGTTATGGGCGATAAAGTCATTTTCTGAAGGGGACTTTATATGGGGGGTAGGGTCAATTATGGACCGATCCTTATAAAATTTTACAGAGAGATTTAGGTTCCCATAAAACATGTTTGTGCCGAATTTCACCGCTATTGATGCTTCTCTTAGGCAGTTATGGGCGATAAAGTCATTTTCTGAAGGGGACTTTATATGGGGGGTAGGGTCAATTATGGACCGATCCTTATAAAATATAACAAAGAGATTTAGATTCCCATGAAACATGTTTGTGCCAAATTTCACCGCTATTGGTTCTTCCCTTAGCAAGTTATGAGCGATAAAGTCATTTTCTGAAGGGGGCCTTATATGGGGGCTAGGCGAAATTGTGGACCGATATTGCCCATTTTCAATACCAAACAAACTGCATCAACTAAAAGTATCTGTGCAAAATTTCAGCTCGCTAGCTACTTCCATTTGGACTCTATCGTGTTTTCAACAGACAGACAGACAGACAGACAGACGGACAGACGGACGGACATGGCTAGATCGTCTTAGAATCTAATAAGGACCCAGAATATATATACTTTTATGGGTCTTAGACGAATATTTCAATGTGTTACAAACGGAATGACAAAAACAATATACCCCCCATCTTTTTTGATGGTGGGTATAAAAATTAAATTCTAGATTTTATTATAAATATTGTATTGTATTTTCTGTATATTATGAATTGTATACTTATGTATGTATATCTATTATATACATGCGTATGTATTTATGTAAATGTTATTTATATACTAATATACAGCAGTCATTAAAAATAAAAAAAACAACAATTAATTAAATTATATACATAAGTTTATAAAGAAAATAAACAATTTAAACCAAATTGTCTAATAACCATAATTAAATTGAAAAGATTCACATCAGGCATGGATAATTCAGTACTTTAGTACTTCTTGACATTTTCGATACTTTTTCTTAGAAACTTTTGATAAACAGTATAATCTAGTATACAGTTTAGTCTATAGTCTAGTCTATATAGACTAGACTATAGACTAGACTATAGACTAGACTATAGACTAGACTATAGACTAGACTATAGACTAGACTATAGACTGGACTATAGACTAGACTATAGACTAGACTATAGACTAGACTATAGACTAGACTATAGACTAGACTATAGACTAGACTATAGACTAGACTATAGACTAGACTATAGACTAGACTATAGACTAGACTATAGACTAGACTATAGACTAGACTATAGACTAGACTATAGACTAGACTATAGACTAGACTATAGACTAGACTATAGACTAGACTATAGACTAGACTATAGACTAGACTATAGACTAGACTATAGACTAGACTATAGACTAGACTATAGACTAGACTATAGACTAGACTATAGACTAGACTATAGACTAGACTATAGACTAGACTATAGACTAGACTATAGACTAGACTATAGACTAGACTATAGACTAGACTATAGACTAGACTATAGACTAGACTATAGACTAGACTATAGACTAGACTATAGACTAGACTATAGACTAGACTATAGACTAGACTAGACTATAGACTAGACTATAGACTAGACTATAGACTAGACTATAGACTAGACTATAGACTAGACTATAGACTAGACTATAGACTAGACTATAGACTAGACTATAGACTAGACTATAGACTAGACTATAGACTAGACTATAGACTAGACTATAGACTAGACTATAGACTAGACTATAGACTAGACTATAGACTAGACTATAGACTAGACTATAGACTAGACTATAGACTAGACTATAGACTAGACTATAGACTAGACTATAGACTAGACTATAGACTAGACTATAGACTAGACTATAGACTAGACTATAGACTAGACTATAGACTAGACTATAGACTAGACTATAGACTAGACTATAGACTAGACTATAGACTAGACTATAGACTAGACTATAGACTAGACTATAGACTAGACTATAGACTAGACTATAGACTAGACTATAGACTAGACTAGACTATAGACTAGACTATAGACTAGACTATAGACTAGACTATAGACTAGACTATAGACTAGACTATAGACTAGACTATAGACTAGACTATAGACTAGACTATAGACTAGACTATAGACTAGACTATAGACTAGACTAAGACTAGACTATAGACTAGACTATAGACTAGACTAGACTATAGACTAGACTATAGACTAGACTATAGACTAGACTATAGACTAGACTATAGACTAGACTATAGACTAGACTATAGACTAGACTATAGACTAGACTATAGACTAGGACTATAGACTAGACTATAGACTAGACTATAGACTAGACTATAGACTAGACTATAGACTAGACTATAGACTAGACTATAGACTAGACTATAGACTAGACTATAGACTAGACTATAGACTAGACTATAGACTAGACTATAGACTAGACTATAGACTAGACTATAGACTAGACTATAGACTAGACTATAGACTAGACTATAGACTAGACTATAGACTAGACTATAGACTAGACTATAGACTAGACTATAGACTAGACTATAGACTAGACTATAGACTAACTAGACTAGACTATAGACTAGACTATAGACTAGACTATAGACTAGACTATAGACTAGACTATAGACTAGACTATAGACTAGACTATAGACTAGACTATAGACTAGACTAGACTAGACTATAGACTAGACTATAGACTAGACTATAGACTAGACTATAGACTAGACTATAGACTAGACTATAGACTTAATTAATCACAACGCAGCCTTTATAAATAACTCTGTGAATCTTTTCCTCTCTCATAAAACATTATTTTTTTAAGAAAACTTAAAAAACTACAAATAAAATGTATTATTTATGATAAAAGAAAAGAAAAAAATTTAGCATTAATTAAAATAAATATTAATTTATGTCTAAAATTTATATGTCTAAAAATTTTATTGATTTTTTTAGGTTAGTTTTTTTTTAATTTCTCAAAAACTTTTTATTTCAATTTAGTAACTAAATCAAAATGCATAATGTAATAATTATAATAAGTAAATTAAATATAAAATAATGCATTCATTAATGTAAAATGTCTCTATCTGTGTGAATTTTTATTTGATATGTGACATACAACAACAAACAAATACTAAATAAAAAAAATTGATTATTAATAAAAAAATTTAATATAAATAAAATAAATTCAGTGATATAAAAACCTACACAAGTGTTTTATTTCCATAAAATTCTAAGAACATTATCTTTTTATAGAACATATTCGAAAAAATTCTCTTTTTATAGAAAATGTCAGAGAAAATTCACTTTTTATAGAACATTTTCAAGAAAATTCTCTTTTTATAGAAAATTTTCAATCAAAATCTTATTTTATAGAAAATTTGCGATCAAATTCTCTTTTTATAGAAAATTTTCGATCAAATACTCTTTTTATGGAAAATTTTCGATCAAATTCGCTTTTTATAGAAAATTATGGATAAAATTCTCTTTTTATACAAAATTTTTCTTTCTTTTTATAGAACGTTTTCGAAAAAATTCTCATTTTATAAGAAATTTTCAAGAAAATTCTCTGTTTATAGAAAAATCTAAATTTTAGAATATAAGATTTCCAGACCATAGACTAGTCTAGAGGCTAGTTTATACTCCAGACTTTAGTTTAGTCTTTAGACAAATGTATAGGGCTGATTATAGTCTATTCTCTAGTCAAGACTTACTCCAAGCTGTATTCAGGACAATAGTCTAAAATGCAGTACATAGTTCTACATATACGCTAGATGTTAGTATATTTTATAGTCCTGAGTATTGTCCAGTTTTTAGTCGTGACCATAGTTTTGTCTACTTTATAGTCTTTAAGTTTAGTCTATACTGCTCACTATCTACTATAGACTTATAGTCTAGTTTATAGTTTTCCTAAAGTTCAGTCTAAACTACAGACTATAAACTTCACAATAATTATCAAATAGTACTTTCGATTTGTATTTGTTAATGAAATTAAATCATAGCAATTTTTTCAACGAAAGTGTTTAAACTTTTATTTACAATTTAAATGTATATTAATCTTTATAAATCTTAAATATATTAAACATTAGTCTGTGTAAAATGCTCGCAATATTTGTACTACATTTAAAATTGTAGAAAAAAATAATAAACATAATAAAACTTTATGTTTTACTCAATCATTTACAGAATAAAATCTTGAAACATTTCATAGTGATTTTCATTAGGAGTACAGCTGAGTTAAACAAAATTCTAAAATCTTCCTAATTGTTACTAAAAAATGAAAAAAAAACTGTTTAATAGCTAAAAATATATATTATGATCTATCAAGGAGGTAAAATGTATTACACGCTGTTCACATAACAATCATCATCTACAATTTCAGACTTTACTTTTACATTCAAATCTGATGATTTACTTTTATGCTTTTTCGTGGAGCTGGCTTCTTTTTCTTTTTTGATCTTTTTGGGTGTGGGCGGCAAAGAGTCATCACTATAAGTTAATTCACGTTTTATTTCCTTGCTTACTGGTATCTCACTACTTTCTGTTCCAGAAGATTGAGAGCTTTTACGTTTCTTAGATGATTTTTTCTTATCTGAGTCAACTGGAGTTTCTTCTGCAGTGTTTTTAGATTTTTTGGATTTTTTAGGTTTCTGTTTATTACATTCATCTATGGCTTCTTCGAATTCTGAGGGTGCTTCTGTTTTTATGACCGACAATAAATCATCAAGTTCCTGGCCACCATCTTTTTCTTCTATTCCAGAATCAGCATTTTCTTCCTGTTTGAAAACTATTTTTTTCTGTAAGTAAAGTTAAAAAATTACTATTGGCTTAGTTTTATATAAAAGTCTTATTTTAATTACCGCCTTAGCTAAGGCTTTTTGAGCTCCCGGAGTCAATAGTTCACCATCTATGTAGGGGAAAACATTTTGTAAATTATACTTGCGTATACGGAACTTGACTTCCTGATCCATTTGGACTTCTTCTTTATCCACTTTGTGGGCCACTCTCAAATTGGCATTAAAAACACGATACAGAATTACGCCTACTTGATGTGGTCCTATATGTTTGACTACTCCCGTGAGCTCAGCTCCTTCTTCGGGTCTAAAAACGTAAACATCAGCATTGATGTTGACATGTATACGAGCATCATCGGCACGCATAGCTCCCGTATTGCCCAACACTTTAATATTTTTAACATCCAATACTATGCCATCCAGATGAATGTCATAGAATCCCACTTTACTTCTCACCAAATGGGCCATAAGAACATGTTTGAAATCAGCTAAACAGAAAGGTCCCATGGACAAATGTAAATTTGTGTTTATTTTCAGCACACAAGAGCCCTCTGTCTCTGTATATTGATCCAATTCCTTGGTGGTATACTTAACATACTCCTGCAGTCTTTTGGCCATTGTTTTTATTTAGGTTTTATGATAAAATTGTATTTTCTATAAAATTTATATTAAAAATCCAATTGCAACAAGCACATTGTACATGTGTTAAAGAGAAATGTCAAAAAAAAATAGTTGGTATAGTATGTTCAGTTTATAAATAAAAAATGTTGCCAGATTGTTTTTTTTTTTTTTTTTGCATAATACTCAAATTTTTAGATATAATTATCAAAATAACTTTCTTGGTATATAATTTGGTATAAAATTTTCAAAAATTTCCAATTTTTTGTAACTCTAACTTTATAACACGTTTAAAATTTTATTTTAAATGAGGAATTTAAAAAACTTTGAATTTTATTCAAAATTTTCTATAAAAAGTTTTGTTTTTAATACTTTCTATAGACAATTTAAAACGAATATTTTATAAACAAAAGTTTATGTATAACAGTTTATAATTAATGTACACAATTTTATGTATCACAGTTTTTTTCGTAAAGAAAGTATTTATAATTTTTTTATACGAATGATTGTTTTTATAAATGTTTCTTTAAAATCTTATTCGTAACAGCTTTTCTATAGAATAATTTGTATTACAGTTTTCTATACGAAATTAGAAAACTCTGATGTATTACAGTTTTTCTATTAAACGTCTGTATACCAATTTATTCAATAGAAGATTTAATGTATAATATTATGTTTACAAAAATTTTGTGCTTAAAATTTATCTATAGAAAATAGTTAATAATACATTCAAATTTTAGATTTTAAATTTGAAAAATTGACTACATATTTAAAGGATTAGATAGAAAATACATTGCGAAACTTAAAACAGAAAAATCCTAGCCGCCCTTAAAATTAATGTACCAACGTCGTTGAAAACATTGTAGCCGTCGTTTATACTACAACGTTATGAAATGTCTTCGGTTTAGGACTCCAGTTGTTGTTGTACAGTAGAAAAACAAATCTGCATTACAAAAATAAAAGAAAAACATGAAAATTTCCCTTTCACGATAAAATCGAATCCAATAAACTAAAAATAAATAAAAAAAAAAAAAACAAGATTATACAAATGGTTTCGGCAACACGTAAACGCATTCTTCTCTTACTGATTGTTATTGTACTAACATTTCTGCTTATACGCTTCCTGTTGTACAATGGAACACTATTGGCTGTAAGTATGCAGTATCCACAGGCACAGGTGGTACAAAATAAACAACACAAAACTAGCCACGTAGGTTTAGTATTAAAGCCATAAATGTTTACTTAAGCAAAAGTGATAATAATAAGAAATCGTATTTACGTTTGTTTATCTACTAGGAAACACAAAGTTATAGACGTGCACCCGGTGCTCCGGTAATTGTGGCGGTATTTTATGAAGCCTTATGTCCGGATAGTAAACATTTCATAATGAAACAACTATTACCGGCCTATAAAGAGGCAGCCCCGCTAATGGATGTACAACTCATACCCTACGGTAAGGCTACCACTTACACCAATGCCGATGGCAGTTATCGTTTCGATTGCCAACATGGACACTTGGAATGTGAGGCAAATACCTATCATGCCTGTGTCATTGAGGTGGTAGAAGATGCGCTGGCGCGTCTTGAAGTTGTGGCCTGTATGATACGTGATAATCATTTGCCGAAAGAAGCTTTCCATAAGGTGGGTGCAAGAATTGTCTTATTTGCATATTGTTTGTAAACTATTTAACTATTTTTAACTAGTGTGCCAAGCAGCATAATATTGAAAATATTGATCTCATACAAAAATGTTATGATAGTTCCAATGGCAGTGAACTGCTGAAATTGAATGGTGATGTTACTCATGCCTTACGGCCCAGCATTACTTTCATACCCACTATAACCTTGGATGGTTCTCAAGGACGTCAGGCCACTATTTTGAAAAACCTTTTAGCTGAAATCTGTAAAATTGCTGGAGATAATGAAAAGGCCGAAGAAATCTGTAGTAAACATATTTGAAGATATGTTTTCTTTGGAAAAAAATTCCATTTATGTTTTCATTTGGATGCGTTTTATTTTTCAACATTGTTAAGTTTTTTCTAAGAAAATAAGCATTTAATTTTTTAAAAGAAATTTATCTTATCAACAATAACAAAATTAATACCATAACTCACCTGCCACATGTTGAAAACGTGAAAAACTGAAACAAGTCCAAAGATATTAACACTTTATTTTAATTCTAATCTAAAAAGAACAAAACAAAAAAATTTCTGGTCATCTTTATTTTGTAGACTTCACGAATTAACAAGAATTTTTTAAAGTTAATAATTATTTGAATAAGTAATTAATAAATTTATATATTGTGTAAAGCAATTTACTTTAAGTTGAAATTATTTTTAAATACCTATAATATTTTAATAAATAAAACGAAAAATTTATTGTTTAAAAAAATTTTTTTATTGAAATTAAAACAGTTATTTTTATGACCCATGCAGGCCGTACTGGTAGGGCTACCAAAGAAGGCATACTTAGAACTACCCTTCGCACGACTGGCCGTCCAGCCCCACAACTTAAAATCCACGCGCGTTTTTATACATAATTGTTATAAATAAAAAAACATAAAAATGTTTATACAATTTTTAAAATATTAATTTTTATACAAATTTATCAAAAATTTTACTTTTTTCATAGAAAAAATTCAAGTTTTCTCTCTTATAGGAAATCATTAAGAAAAATCCCTTTTCTATAGAAAACTGAATTATTTGTTTTATTTTTATAATTAATTTTGTTTTTCCGTTTTAATCTCTTTATTGCCACTGTATCCTCGCTATGTCGACACACTGAACATACCCCTTCATTTATTAATTTCTTTTTTGACATATTTACCTTTTTTTGGCTGACAAATGAAATCACTTTACACTTTCCACCAACAACAAAAGTTCACAATTTTTTATGAAATTCTGGAAAAATACGAAAAGTTTTATACAAAATCTGTTTACAAAAATGGACACTGAAGAATTGGAACCCATGGACATGTTAGCCTATATAACTGAGGAGTTACAGGGACGCTATAGGGCTGCTAAAGATGTCACAGCCCAGGCACAAGTTTTTCAGGATTTCCTTAGGCGCTGGGAGGCAGATAGTGCTTTAGATGTGTTAAGAAAACAAAATTATGAAGTGCAAAAGGGTAATGAGAAAAAATTGCCATTCTTTTTCTTTATAAAATTCTAATGTTTATCTTTTCTAGATCTTGATTGGTTTAATGTGAGTCAGCCCTTGACCTTGGAAAGCTTAAGGGGAAAGTTAGTGGTATTGGATTTCTTTACTTACTGCTGCATCAACTGTATGCACATATTACCCGAATTGAATGCTTTAGAGAAATTGTATCCTGTTGAACGGGGCCTGGTGGTGGTGGGTGTCCATAGTCCCAAGTTTGAAAATGAAAAAGATGCTGCCAATATTTTAGCGGCTGCTCAACGCTATGGCATTGAACATCCCATTGTTAATGATCCACGCATGTCTTTGTGGCGTGCTATAGGCATACGTTGTTGGCCTACTTTAATGGTTTTGTCTCCCAGTGGTGCACCTTTGTTAATGTTAATGGGTGAGGGACATGCTTTATTTTTGGAACGTTTCACCGAACAGGCTTTAAGATTCTTTGCTCAAAAGGAAGAACTAAAATACTTTGCTCTACCTTTAAGACCCTCTTTGGGTCTTTTGCCCGCCTCTAAATTAAGATTCCCCGCCAAAATTGCCCGCAGTGAGGAGGGAAATTTTGCTGTAGCTGATGCCGGCAACAATCGTATATTGGTGTTTAACATTAAGGGGGAGGTTTTGCAAAAAATAGGCTGTGGTGTAGCTGGCTTGGTTGATGGCAATCTAGAGATGGCACGTTTTAATTCTCCCCAGGGAGTGATATTTCTTAACAATGATACACTAATAGTGGCTGATACCGAAAATCATGCCATACGCCAAGTTAATTTAACAACCAGAACCGTCGAAACCTTAGCTGGCACAGGGCAGCAGGGACATGATCGTCTAGGCGGTAAAATTGGACCATTGCAGCAAATATCTTCTCCCTGGGATGTGGCAGTTTTTCGAACCCGAGACATGGACATGTCTTTTCATTTGGACGAACAAAATGTTCCAGAGAAAACTATTATTATAATATCAATGGCTGGTACTCATCAAATATGGGGCTATTTCCCAGAAGGTATGATTTGGTGGAAATTTAAGAAATTTGAGCCACGCACTTGTGTTTCTGTGATAGGCAATGGCATGGAAGAGAATCGTAATAATTCTTATCCCCAAAATGCTGCCTTTGCACAACCCTCCGGTTTGGCTATGGCCAAAGACTATCTGTTTATAGCGGACAGTGAAAGTTCCAGTATACGCAAAGCATCCATGGTAGATGGCAAAGTTTTGGCTGTGGTTGGAGGAGATCGTAATCCACAGGTGAGCGTTCTCTATAAGAAAGAAATGGAAAAATTAACAAATATTTAATATCTCTATACTTTTTAGAATCTTTTTGCTTTCGGTGATGTTGATGGTAAACAATATGCTGCCAAACTCCAGCATCCTTTGGGTGTAACTTACAATCATATCAATGGTAAAGTTTATGTAGCCGATACCTACAATCACAAACTTAAAGTCATTGACGTCGACTCGAGTACCATTGAAACTTTGGCCATAAAGCAATACAACGATGACTCTAAACTGCAACAATTCAATGAACCAGCTGGTCTTTGTTTCGACTCAACTGGTCAATATATGCTTGTCTCCGATACTAATAATCATCAGATATTACGTATTAATATGCAAACTCTAAAAGCCGAACCAATTAATTTAAACTTCCAACAGGTCAACAATGCAGACGTAACAGTTACTGATGGTCCTTTGCGTTCCGGTTTGGAATTACTAAAACAGCTTCCCCTAAAACATTGCAAACAATTAAAACTGCAAGTATGCGTTTCTCTAGATGACCAATTAAAATTTACCACAGATGCTCCTCAGAAATGGTCTGTTAACAGTAAAAATAGTGCCTTGAAATCTTTAAATACTAAAGGTTCTTTAACCGATGGTAAATTTGTATTACAATTGCAACGTCAGGATGACCTTAAATCTAACGTGCCAAAGGAAGATATAAAATTGGATTTATCTTTAAGTTTATGCGATGCCAAAAGTTGTCTAATGAAAAGATTTTCCTTGATTCTAAATGATAATGGAGATTCTTTAACGGCAAATAATTCAGCTGCTGAAGAGTGTAATGTTCAGGTTCATATTACACCTAATGGTGTAAGACTTTGTTAAGGTTTTGTCCAAAAAAAAAAAAAAGAAACTAAAGTTGAGATTATGTTTGTATTATTTTATGTAACCGTTATTGTTTAATTTGATCCTTTTATTCTGCTGTAATTTTAATAAAGTGCTAACTTAAAGAAAAATAAAAAAACTTAACTATACTGAATAAAAAGTTTTTATTATTAAGGAACTAGAAGAAAATATTTGTACTATCGAAATTTTCAATTTTTATAAAAATTTTTCCTTTTTATAGAAAACTTTTGAAATTTCACATAATTTTCTATAGAAAATTCTTTAACTTTTCTATTTCTATAAAATATTTGCAAAATCTTCTATTTTGAACATTTTCGAAACTTTCTATTTGTATGGAACATTTTCGAAACTTTCTATTTTTATAGAACATTTTCGAAACTTTCTATTTGTAAAGGACATTTTCGAAATTTTCTATTTCTATAAAACATTTTCGAAATTTTGTATTTCTATAGAACATTTTCGAAATTTTCTATTTCTATGGAACATTTCCGAAATTTTTTAGTTCTACAGAACATTTTCAAAATTTTCTATTTCTATAGAAGATTTTCGAAAATTTCTTTTTTTGAAATTTTCTATTTCCATAAAATATTTTAAAATTTTTCTATTTTTTATATAAAATTTTCAAAATTTTCTATTTTTTATAAAAGTTACTATTTTTATAAAATTTACTATTTTTTATAGAAAATTAAAAGAAAAATTCGAAATTTTGTATTTATAGAAAAAATTCGAAATTTTCAGCATTTATATTTTTATATAAAATTTCAAAATTTTTTTCTATATAATTTTTTTTATATAATTTTGTTTTTATATAAAATTTTCGAAATTTTATATATTTTTATATAAAATTTTCGAAATTTTATATATTTTTTTATATAAAATTGTCGAAATTTTCTATTTCTATAGAAAATTTTCCATTATCATTATTTTCTATTTTGATTAAAAATAAAAAAATTTTCAAAATTTTCTATTTTTTATAAAAAATTTACTATGTATTTTTTATAGAAAATTTTAAAAAGTTTTTTATTTTTTATCTTTTATAGAAAATGTTGGAATTTTTCTATTTTTCATAGAAATTTTTTGAATGTACTTTTTTAAAAGAAAAATTCGAAATTTCGTATTTATAGAAAAATTTCGAAATTTTCAGCTTTTATATTTTTATATAAAATTTCAAAATTTTTTTCTATATAATTTTTTTTATATAATTTTTTTTATATAAAATTTTCGAAATTTTATATTTTTCTATATAAAATTTTCGAAATTTTATATATTTTTTTATATAAAATTTTCGAAATTTTATATATTTTTTTATATAAAATTGTCGAAATTTTCTATTTCTGTGGAAAATTTTTCATTATTTTCTATCATTATGTTCTATTTTGATTAAAAATTTTCTGTTCTATTTTAAAATTTTTAAATATTTTGTTCGAAAATGTTCCATTTTGTTCCAAAATTATCTATACTATTCAAAAATGTTAAAAATTTCCATTTTAGTTTGGAAATTTTCTATTTTGACTGAAAATTTTATATTATATAAATTTTATATCTCGAATACATAAATGCGTTTTTTAAACATCAAGTTTTTAGATAAATCGCTACACTGGCCAATACTAATTAATCAAACTAACTGGCATCACTTTAGAATTGAAAGAAGAATGGATAAAAGAAAAATAATAATAAAACTAGTCAAACAGAATACAGCGAAGAGAGAAGTTGTGCCAGTCGGGAAGAATACAGAAAAGAACACATTTTCTTGTGCGTTTTGTGGTTAGAAAAAATAAAAAAAATCTTTATTTTTCTTTGCCTCGCGAGTGTTTTGATAAATAAATCAAAAAAGTGCTAATTTTAATATAATCATTCTTTCAATTTTCATAAAATCAACAAAAAGGAAAAAAGTGAACAGAAAAAAACAGTGAAATTGTTTAAGAATAAAAATAAAGTTATGGAAGTTAAACCTTTGCCACGTTCAGAAAATTGCCAAAGACGGACTAGAAATTCCAATAGTGAAAATGCTACGGATGAAAATAATGAAATTATGATGATGATGACCCCCAGAAAAAATTCTGGCCATCGTTCATCAATAAAAATGACGGCTAATAGTAATTGTAATAGTATTAGTGGTAGTAAACATAAAGTGAAAAGCGGAAAATCAATGGCGCGTCCTCTTTTAGGGTTTAAAATCCACTCCTCCGCCTCTTCCTCCTTAACCACGAGTTGTTTAAACGCGACACGTTCTTCGTTTCGTCGTACTTGGTGTCCCCTGGTTTTGAATGCATTGATTTTCATTTTATTTACAAATGCAATCAATTTTGGTAATTGTGCCGTTAACAGTGCGGCGAATAGTGATTCATTAATAAATCAGCCACAACATACAACATTTGATGACACTACAACAACAACATCATCGACTAAATTTAATACATTTAATAATAATAATAACAATAATAACAACAACAAAAACTCCAACAAATTAAATGATACTCAAAATTTATTATTGCCACAATTGGCAAATCAACAGAAAAGGTGAGTGTAATTCATCATTAGAAAGAATAAAAAGAAACATTAAAGCAAGAGCAGAAAAAATATTTTGTTTAACTTGTTTAGTTTAGTAATTTTCTTTTTTCATTGTAATCATCTTAATTCGGTTTTGTAAAAATTTACGCATTTGAAATTAAATGAATAATAATGGAAAGAACTACCCAAATACATTTTGCGTTAACTAGTCGTCGTCTGGAATGTCCCTCCCTCTCGTATTTTGTGTATTTATAAACATTGCACACACCAACAAACCAACATACACTTGTTTGTACTACATACATACATGTGTACATATGTTTTGTTTGTGCAAATGTTAACAAGTATTAACAGTATATGTTAAGTTAACATTTATAATTTTACATTTTACAACTTCTTTGTTTACTTGAGATGCGTACGTGATACGAAACTTTTATTAACGAAAAAATATTTACATTTGGAATAAATTTACTTAGTTATTATATTTTTACAAACTTTATTTAATTATTCATAGTTAAAACACATACAATTTTTATTAGAACAAAAAATTGTTTAATAACGTTTTATATTCTTTTAATTTAAAGTAGTTATTTTTTGTAATATATTTGTATGCAATAGCACTATGTTAGGGGAGGATATTAAAAATTTGATATGTCGTTTCGTCCGACGACTAAATAATATTGACTAGATTATAAAATATAGATTAAACGTAAGTTCACACTATATACTCATCATAATGTAGTCCAGACTATAGACTAGACTACAGTTCAGTCTATAGAGTCTATGATTAATATATAATCTATTGACTAGACTGTTGTCATGTCTGTAGACTAGTCTGTATATACTATAGTCAAGTATATAGAATAGATTATGGTCTAGAGTTTAGACCACTTTAGATTATAATCAACACCACCGACTATAATCAATACTTAACTGGACTATAAACCAGATTTTAGTTCAAATTCTAAACTAAACTATATAATTCTATATCATCCAGACAATGGACTAGACTATATATATAAGACTGTAGTCCAAACTATACTATAGACGAGACTATAGAATGGTCCAGACTATGCTATAGTCCAAAATATATACTAGACTATATGTTTTAGACTATAGTGCAGATTATAGACTATACTATAGTCCAGGTTATAGATTATACTATAGTCCAAACTATAGACTTGACTATAGTCCAGACTGTAGACTTGACTATAGTCCAGACTATAGACTTGACTATAGTCCAGACTATAGACTTGACTATAGTCCAGACTATAGACCTGACTATTGTCCAGACTATAGACTTGACTATGATCCAGACTATACACTTGACTATGATCCAGACTATAGACTTGACTATGGTCCAGACTTCAGACTTGACTATATAGTGCAGACTATAGACTTGACTATAGTCCAGACTTTAGACTTGACTATAGTCCAGACTATAGACCAAATTATAGACTTGACTATAGTCCATACTATAGTCCAGACTATTTTCCAGACTATAGACTTGACTATAGTCCAGACTAAAGACTTGAAAATAGTCCAGACTAAAGACTAGACTACAGTTCAGACTATAGACTAGACTACAGTTCAGACTACAGACTACACTATAGTTCAGACTATATTCCAGACTATAGTCCAGACCATAAACTATAGACTATACTACAGTTCAGACTACAGACTAGACTATAGTTCAGATAATGACCTAGAATATAGTCCAGGCTATCGACTAGACTATAACCTAGATTATCGACTAGACTATAGTCAAGACTAAAGACAAGATTATAATCCATACTGTAAACTAAACTATATACTAAACTATAGTCTGGATTATAGTATAGTATATATAGACTGTATTTCAGACTATAGACTAGACTATAGTCCAAACAGTATATTGGCTATAATCCAAACTATAGACTATACTATAGACAATACTTCAGTCAAGAGTATAAATTACACTTTAGTCTAGAATATGCACTAAATTATTATACAGACTATAGAATAAACTAAATAGACTATAGTGTATTAGTCTAGTCTAAAATCTAGAATATAGTACATACAATAGACTAGACTGTAGTCCAGTCTAGAGACTAGACTACACTACAATTTGATCAAATGTACAAGAACATGCTGTTCTAGAACATTTTTATGAACATAACGATTTTCTTCAGTTAGTAAATTTCAGGAAGTGTAAATAATATCACTATAATTCGTTTACATATTTTTTGGTTAATACAAATTTAAACATAAATATCATACATCTTTCTTTTGTTTTCATAAAAATTGGCAAATATTTGTTTTCTTATCTGACAACCTTAAGTAATATTTATTTTTAATTAAGGGGAAAAAAAGATATAAATTTCACAAAGCGTGAGATGAAGAAAAAACACATCTACGCAAGGAATGTTTTATAGCCAGACATAAAAATATTTAGAGGTACTTGTCTGAATTCTCTTATTATATATTATATTATTAAAAAATGTATATTTATTAACTGTTTAATTTGAAATTGTGACGTTCTAGAGAGTTACAGGGATGCCAAAGAGTAGAAAAGTAAGTTTGGTATTCTGATTAAAAATTGTGTAAAATAAGCCTATTCTAAAACCTTGAATAAGTATATTAATGAGGGTTTCGAGCTCAATTAGATCAATGGATACTTATACTGTCTAATTTTTATTAAAAATGTCATATCAAGCAATAAAGGAATAAATGATTAAAGTGTTATTAAAGTATGTAGATGTAATGAATATATTATTCAGTGTCTTTTCAGAAGTTTTAATCCCTCCGTTTTTCCATTTACTATCCATTCACCTCTGTTATCGATTTCTCCAAATAAAATATAATTAATTTTGAACTACGCCCATTACACATCAATTTGAAATATTTAAAGCAAAATATCACTTTAAACAAAATTGACTTATAGGTCCTTAAAATGGTCATCTGTGGTCTGACTATGTTTTGTTTATTCTATTTTTATTTACAAGAAAACGTTTATTAAAATTATTTCTTGGTCCCTCTTTGACATTTTTACATTTTAGAAAAATACCCTCAAAATCAATGTTCTATCATTTTTGCTGTTTTTCAGCTAAAAACAAACCAAGTGCATTGAAAAAAATCTTAAATATATCACCAACAGACATACCAGCTCAGCACCCGGTCTTTTCTTGTAAATAGATTTTTTGCTAAATTCATAAATCTTTTAGAGAATTTGCATATAAACATTGTTATAATATACGATGACAGACGAACAGATGCCAACTGTTTCTTAACCATCAATATTTAAGAAAAAAAAAAAAAAAAAAACACACAGTAATATAAATTGCCCCGATTCCCCTAAATTCTTTTCCTCGCAAAGACATAATAATAATATAAATAAAACAAAAACATATTGTGGTACGATTCTCCCACAGCATGCCGTTTTCAATCTCACATGTGGCGCACGCCCGCTTTTTTGTTCTGGTTACAATACGGTGTTAAGGTCAGTGTGACGTGTAAAATAGTTGTAAAACTACAAATCATCATCATCACGTCATCGTAATCATCATCATTATGAACATCACAATCCACTGTCTAACAACAATTGGCGGCAATTTTTTTTTTAATTTTTCATTTAATCCAAAGTAAATTAATAAAGTAGCGACACGAGTTGTTGTACAACAAACGTCTACAAAAACCACAGGCAATTTGTTTTTGTTCGAAATACTCACTTGTCAAAATTTGTTTACAAAAATGAACCAATAATTAATGGAAAATATGGCATTATTGTTGTACTTTCCAAAAATATGTTGTTATTTATATTAAAAGTCACAGAGTTTTCTTTATTTTTTAAAAATTAGAACATTTTTAAAAATATTATACACTTAAAATACACTTTTTCACATTAAATACAACAAATTACTCAGAAATTTGTACAAAAGCAAGCGTTAAAATGAAAACAAATATGGCAACATAAACATTTTTGACAAGTAAGTCCACAAATAGCAAGTTTAAAAAAAATAGTCAGCTGTTCAAATGAGTCTACTTTATAAATTTACTTTGATTTAATCTTGGGAATATTTTACAGTCTGTTTTGTTTTTTTTTAATTTTTATTAATTCTTAGTAATTTATTATTTTGCTATTTGCCACTTCTTCTTATTTCTTGTTATTGTCAGAAGATTTATTTGTTTATCTAATCGAGCGACACATTGTTTAGTTGTATACAATAGTAGAGGAGTAAACCAACTGAATCAAAATTCATTCATATTTAAAATCAGATTTCTAAAGTCCTGAGATCTAAGATCTTAGGAGAATTGTACGGAATTTACCAAAAAATGGAATTAACCCAAATTAATCAGGTCTTAAATAATATCACTTTCGATTGCAATGGAATTCTGTGACAGGCCTGAATAGTTGGTATTTTGTCAGTAGCTATGTGTTCTGTTCAAAAATGATTCCCCTTCCTCTCTAGCAAGATTGATGATAGAAACTATTAAATGTACTCTAATATAGAGAATATTTTCTGGGCATATATTAATTGAATGATTAAAGTAATTATGTGTACGAATAAATTTTTGATGGACAAACAAATATACATCAATGAAGCCGCACTTATATATGCGCAATGTTTTTCTTTTTGTGCGTGTTACTAGAGTTAAACTGAACCCGGATTTTCAAACCAGAATAAAAACAAACCTAATATCAACAAATTATTCGGCACAAATCTAAACAAAATTTTTTTTATATTTTTCGCATTTTGGTAATGAGTTGGAAATGTAATTATTTCATACATTACTTGGTAATGGATGAAGTTTATTAACAATACATTATTTCAATTTGTGGCATAGGATTTGTAGTCAATTGAAACATTGATTTAAACCTTCAGCTAAAAACCTTTTCAAAAAGCTCGATAAAATAACTAATTAATCGAACTTTGAGTAAGCCAACAGGCTAAATTATATTTTGAAACCCTTCGAATAAAGTAATTATTCACCCCAAAAGTAAATACTTGCACTTTGATCTAATATTATTT